AAGGAACTTCAAACCGTAAAAATCACACCAGTAAAAATTGTCAAAATGACAATGAAACACAAAAGACACGAACAAGACGACGACCAGAACTACCTCGTGTACTTCAAAAAAGATGTAGAACAAGGTGGAAATTTCCTGGAATTCCTCAGAAAAATCAAAATTGTCAGCAGTTTCAAAATTAAATGGGCTGACTACAAAAATAGACAAGCTGGACCATCTCAATGTTCGAAATGTCTGCAGTTTGGTCATGGACAAAACGGTTGTAACAAACCGTCCGTTTGCTTCAGATGCTCTGAGCAACATGACTCGAAAACGTGCCAGTACATATCGAAAGAGACCAACAAGGTTCCACTCGGAAAACTCAAATGTTTCTTCTGCGGTGAAAAACATACAGCAATTTTCACAGGTTGTAAAACCAGACAAGAAATAATTGAAAAATGGAAATCAAAATCACAGAATGGAAACAACCAAAATCAAAACAAAACAGCAGGCCATTATTCATATGGACAACGGAGAAACAATCCTCCAACACCGCATCGTCCTGAGAGATCAACCAGAAACGTCCAACATGCACCAAAACCTCAATGGAGAAAGGAGTATATGGAACCATCAACATCTGGTACACAAAAGCCTGTTCATCAAAAACAAGTTCCAGTCAACCACAAACCAAGGAACACAAATCCTCCTCCAAATCACAAACCCTCAAATCAGGGAAATAAAAATAACTTGAACAACCAACAAAACAATAAAGAAAGAGGAAAACATTGGAAAAAGAATCAAAGAAAAAAGCAAAACGAGCGCATTAATAACAATCAACATCAAAAACCAAAGCAAGATGTTGAGCTTATGGACTCAGAAGACATCAGTGCAACAAGTCAGACCTCGAATGAAGTCTTCCCAGAACCTTCATTCAGTGTTGAGGTAGTGAATCGAAACATAACAACTAATCAACAAGCTCAAAGCACCAGCACAAGAGATAAAAACATCTCAGAAATAGAGGAATCAAAGTGCAAGTACCTTATCAGCGAGCTTCTCAAATTAATCGCCAAAAATCCAGAGTTCATCGACGAAATACTCCAAGCAATCGGCTCAAGTGCCAAAAACACCGCATACAATAATGGATTGTAGACAACAAAGTATCAACGTCCTCTACTGGAATGCTAACGGCCTCACTGACAAAATGTTAGCATTTCTCGACTACCTAAGCAAGCAAAACGTCGATGTTGCTTGCATCTCAGAAACATTCCTAAAACCAAACTCAAAAATTGACTCGCATCCAGACTACGTAATTCATCGATTGGATCGCGTGGATAGACCAAAGGGTGGTGTTGCAATCATCGTCAAAAGAAATCTAAAACATCAGCTTCAACCAAGCTACAACACAAAACTAATGGAATGCATTGGAATCAAAGTCTTCATCAATGACACGGATAGTTGTCACATTCTCTCAGTCTATCTCCCAGGAGGAAGCAAAGGAGGGGAAATAGATCTACATCTGAGAGATGACATCAACAAAATAACAAATCTGAGAGGAAATTACTACATCTGTGGAGACTTCAATGCAAAACATCGAGAATGGAACTGCAACGTTGCAAATAAATCAGGAAATATTCTTCAGGAAATGTCAGGAGAGTTCATGATCTACTTTCCTGACTCGCCAACGTACTACCCAGAAGATCGAAACAAATCAGTGTCAACAATTGACCTGATGCTCTCGAATTCCAACCTCGAAACAACAGAACTTCAATGCACAGAGGCAATGAGTGATCACTGCGCTGTGTATTTCCAAATCAAAACATCAAAAATCGACAGAACTGAAAATACAGTCTACAGATATGACTACAAAAACGCAAACTGGAAAAAGTTCAAAGCACAAATTTCACGCCGCATTGAAGACAACATTGGAGAAAATTCTTGCAATACAACAGATGAGATCGAGAATCACATTAAGATTCTCTCTGAACTCATCATGGAAGCGAGGAACTCAAGTGTAAAAATGAAAAAGATCAAGTTCGAATCAACTAAACTCACACCGGAGATTAAAGATCTAATCAACACAAAAAGGAGTCTTCGTCGAAGATGGCAGAGAAGCAGAGATAATCAACTCAAATCTGAATTGAATTATCTGCAGAGAGTCATCAATGAGAAAATTAAAGAACTCAAAAACAAAAACTGGAATAAGCGTCTCTCAGAGATTCAACCGTCAAACCAAACAGTTTGGAGAATAGCAAAATTTTGCAAAAAAGGTTCAAAAACAATGCCTCCATTGACAAATCTGGGTAAAACGTTCATCACCAACAAAGAAAAAGCCAGCGCACTCAGCGAGTATTTTCGTGAAGCTCACGAAAATCCTCTGGAACAAAACGATCCACAACATACACAGGAAGTAAACAACACAGTCAAAGAAGCATTGGAACAAGACAATGATGAGAATCCAGAACTAACAGATGTAAACGAAATCGTGAGCATCATAAGAAATCTGAAAAATCCAAAAGCTCCGGGACTAGATGAAGTCAACAACATACTCATCAAAAATCTTCCTGAAAAAGGTTTCGAATACTTGAAATTCATCATCAATTCGTGTCTGAAACTCAACCACTTCCCCAAAGTTTGGAAACATGCAAAAGTGATTCCTATTCCAAAACCTGGAAAACCAGCAAATGAGCTAAGCAGCTACAGGCCAATAAGTCTACTCAGCTCAATAAGCAAAATACTGGAGAGAGTATTACTGAATAGAATCAACGATCATCTTGAGGATAACAACATCATCCCAAACCAGCAGTGCGGCTTCCGGACTGGAAGATCAACATCTCACCAGCTCATCAAAGTGATCAAATCAGCAAAAGAAAACTTAAACAACAAAAAGTCAACAGGCATGATCTTCCTGGATGTAGAAAAAGCATTTGACAGAGTCTGGCATAACGGACTCTTGTACAAAATGCTCAAACTGAGATTTCCACTGCCACTTATAAAAACTGTAAGATCTTTCCTCAGTGAAAGATCTTTCGCAGTTTTTATTAAAGGTCAGTTCTCAGAAATCAAGGTAATCAAATTCGGAGTGCCACAAGGAGCAGTGCTTTCACCAACTCTCTACAACATCTTCACGTATGATGTTGTAAGAGAGACAACCAACAACATCGGTCTTTTCGCAGATGATACAGCACTGTATCATTCTGCAGAGAACTCGGCCGATATTGTGACACATCTACAGCACACAGGAAGAAAAGTTCAACAATACATGAACAAATGGAAGATCAACCTCAACAAACAGAAGACTCAAGCCTTATTCATCACAAACAGGCACTCCAGGCAACTACCAGGAAATAACATCAAATTTCTCAACGAAAACATCAAATGGGAAACAGAAGCTAAATATCTGGGAATGGTGATCGATAAGAGAGTGACATTAAAGCCGCATGTGGAGTATGTGACCAATAGGGCTCACACCGCATTAAGACAGCTTTATCCGCTCATCAGCAGGAACTCACAACTCGACGTACGAAACAAACTTCTCATCTACAAGCTAGCCATCAGACCAATATTCACATATGGTTGTCCAGCGTTTGGAAGCATGGCAAAAACCCATCTTCAAAAACTTCAAGTACTGCAAAACAAATTCTTGAGAATTGTTCTCAATAAAACAAGATATGAAAGGATCACCGATCTTCATACAGAAGCGAAAATACCGTCCATCGAAGACTACGTCGGAAAGTTGCAAGCGAACTTCAACAGTCGTCTTGCATCTCAAAACACCGAATAAATCAAATGAAATACAAAAGAAAGTAAAATCCGTAAATGAAATCAAAATTAAGAGACAAAAGGCAAATTGAATGCCTGAAACCTTTAAACAAAAAGCAACAAAATGTATAGAAACTTTGTACATACTTAAATTTAAATGTAAATAAATAAAAAGTTTAAAAAAAAAAAAAAAAAAAAAAAAAAAAGACAAATAGCTAAGAAACTTTTAGAAAAATGTAAAAGCTAGAGTTTTGCCAATTTGATTCCAATTCTCCACCAAATCTGAATTCACGTTGCCTGATGATACATTTTTCTCACTTTTTTGCGTCATGTATCATTTTAAATTGTTATCATAAAGGTGTGTGCTTCAAAGTCACCTTAGGAGCTCTTAGAATTCACCTTATAATGTTGTTTTAACCAATAAAGTTCTCTTATGGTATGCTCAACTATTATGATTTAGGATGTTTTGGGTTGGAGGGTGGTCTAAGATTTTAAATATGATTTTACACAAGTTTTTAAACTAGGATGAAGGAAAGCGGTCGACTTAACGCAAGTCATTAATAAACAAATGAATAAGAGCAATCAAAACCTTGAAAATAGTTCAAAAATCAATCCTTGATCGTAAAATTCACCATTAAAACATTCTATGCGTATGTTAACATAAAGTTTTGATACCAAGCCAGTCAGTTTCGGTTATTTAAACATATAATTTAAAACTTTCAAGGATAAGTTCCAAGGAAAGTTACCACAACGCATGCAAAACACCCATAAAAATAATCCTTTAAAGCTCAACACGTGCGACACATAAAATCTCAATAGAAGAAGAACTGTAAAACTCTACGACATAAAATATGAGTCAAGCACTTAATTTTAATATTCAGTAGCACCGAGCGTATCTCATTTGGGTCCTCTAAAAATTCAACCGATTGTACGTACGAGCATAAATTCATTATACACCATCTTTCAATTCCATTTTAATCATTAATTTTATAGACGCCACACTGCCTGAAAATTGCTTTCTCAATTGCGAATTTTTTTTTTTATTTAAAATAAAATTTATTATCACGATTTTCTCAACTACGGCTTTCATCCACACCCAAAACAAAAAAATTATTTTATTTTTATTTTTATTATTCCATTTTGTATATTTTATTAAAATACACACAATTTTTCAACAAACTGTGACAAACTATTTATTTTAATCACGTTAAATCTAGTTTAATTAAAAAAGTTTGTCTCTTCATCTCTATCTTATTATATAGATAGATGACTATACATGTGAATTTATATTTTTGTTTCCAGTGTGAATGTTAAAAATTAAAAGAAAAAAATAACAAAAATAATAAGAAGGAGCACAAGTTGAAACTTGAAAAAAAAATGAAGAAGAAAGAAGGAGAAAAAATAAATTAAAAGTGTCAAATGACAAAAGTTGTTGATTGTGCAATTTTCCGGAAAAAGAGGAAAATTAAGAAAGGGAATAAAATTTGCTCTTATTGTGAAACATCAACAGCAGACAAAGAAAAAGGATTTAATTCTCATTTCCTATCTTATCAAATTACGAGATTGAATTAAAAAAGTTTTCAACATAGGCTGTCCACATTCGGTTTTGTGGTGCACTCGTGGAACTATCTCTCCACGAACACCAAAACTCGATAAGTGGCAATTGCCAGAGCCAGAATTACCCCTTGAGTCACAATGGGTTGATGGTGCTGGCGATGGATACTGGGATCAGTGCTCACAATGGGTAAGATGAAATTTAATTTTATGCTTATTTGTGTAAATGGATGTGAGGTTATTAAATTAGATGTTGGATGTGAGAAGATCGCAGAGTTGGAAGGATGATATCTGAGAATTGAGGCATTTTAATTACAGTTGGGCCATTCATAAATGACGTTCATAGAAATTTGAGCTTCCTTCAGACCCCTTTTAGTCCTTCTGTCATGAAATTTTAATATAAAATCTTTTTCATAATACCGAAAGGCTTTATTAATGAAAAAATGCAGAGCCATTTTTACGCCGTGTGCTTTTCAGGATAGAGTCATACAGAGTCAAACCCCACACATCGATTAAAGTTAAACATCACTTATGAACCACCCTTTTTTAAAAATAACGTGTTTTGATATGCTGAATTTTTAAACCTCCTCTCATTTTACACAATCATAAAGTCTTAAATAAAAACACAAAATATACAAATTAGATTCAGAACCCTCTCTCAACTTCCCCGATCTCCCAAAATTCATATTCTTTCCATAAATACAAACAAAAATTCCAACTCTAAAATCCTCACATAATAAGCGTTGAGCTGTACATGCATATTCATGATATTCATACATCCATATTAATGTGCATATAAGCCATACTGTTAATGGAGGTGAAAGGCAACTTCCTTAATGTCGATTATTCGTAAAGAAGCAAAAAAGAACATTCTCGTCTGTTTGGGTTCACTTCCACAATCAACATATGTCGGTTTGTCTTGATATTAGCCATAAAATTTAATGAAGGCACTTGTAATGATTTTGATGTTTTACATCCGCCTTTTAACAACCTCTCACGAGGCCTGAAAAGTAAAAAAACCCCGACAAAGAATGAGAGAGTGAGTCAGAAGCTCTTTTTTGTGTTCCTTGTAATTCTATGTGTCTCGAAAGAGATGTTTACATGCAGAAATTATTTTAAATACACGAATTGTTAGTTTCATCATGATGTAGACAAGAATGTAGCTTTTTTTCTGTACAATTACATCTGTATTCTCGTTTTTTGTGTAAAGTACTTGCGTGGGAAGTGTGAAAAGAACTTTTTTTAATAAACAAAGTTTTTTGTATCGTCAACGGGATGGAATGATGTGAATGAAATAGAGCTACACCGTGTTTTGAAGAATTATTGACAAGTTTTGAAGCTGTTATATTTTAAAAGAGTTTGTTGTCATAATAGGAGTGATAAATTAGGCAATTTGATGCTTTACTAAGTCTCGTCGATTTATTATGTTACTTAAAAAATTACTTTTGGTTAACATCAGGCGCGTAGAGCTGAGGAAGGTCTTGCCCCTTCCTGCCTAAAACGCTTAAGAAGGGGACAATACCCTTCTGGCTATGCGCCTGGTTCACATTGAAATGTTTCCTACCCGTCAGCCGGATTGATAGTTTAATTAGAACCAAGCGGAAGTCAATTGTCAATGGCTAATTTGAAAAGACCTCTAAGCAACTGCCGCTTGGTTCTAATTATACTATCAACCCGGCTACAGAGTGTCAAACATTTCAATAAATTTCAATGTGTGCTGATCAGGTTAGCTTTAGAACTCCCTCCGTTTTCCGGTAAACGGACCTTAGCAAAAGGAAGGAGACGATCTATTAAATTTATTTTTATTTGAAAACATTTTCTAAGTCAATAAAGTGCTACTCAGAATTGATACCTTCACCCGCTTGAAGCCAAACATATTTTTTTCTTTCAACAAAATCACCAATTGAATGACATTTATCAGGTATCGTCAATAGACATGTAACACAGGCTCAAAAACATTCATGTCTCATTCCAATGTCAAACATTACAAGTCATTCAAAAAATATATTTTTTTTTTCTTTTCAAAAAGATGAAGCATCCGTTTTTTATTTCACAAAAGGCAAGAGAATATTATGTATTTACAGTAACAAGTAGAACAGACTGAGTGGGTGAAATTGAGTAAAATGATGCAAAAAGAAGAAAAAGTTTTTTTTATATATATGTTGAAAATCTACTAGAAGTTAATATTTGAAGCGCATAGAGGAAATGTTTACTTTATTTATGCGAAATGAAAAAAGAAAGAAATTTTCTTGCTATCTCCTCCATCTATTATCATACAAATAGAAAAACATACATACATGTGTGTATGTAACCGGAAAAAAAGGCAAAATAAGGCATTGAGAAAGAAGACACGAGATATCATTGAATGTGAAAAAAATAACATCACAATGGTTGTGAAGCGAGCAAAAAATATCAATATTAACAAGCTCCTGTGAATCCTTCCACAGTTTAAATGAAAATGTAAAAACGAAGAAGAGAGAAAACATGAATTCTATTGAGAATTGATTGTGCATGAAATGTGGTACGAAAATAACTAGAAGGTTGCATTGTAAGACTGGGAAAAAAGCATGCTTAAAATACTCTGGGATGCTTTAGGATCTATTAAAACAAGAGTGTCGTGTGAAATATACTTTTTGAGTATTTTTGACGTATTAAACCAAGGATGTAGGGGTGTAGGGGGTGTAGTTAAGGAGGTATCGAAAGCCTTACCTCGCATCTGTAATATCAGACTCTCTTCACTTGCAGGAAGCTAGATAATTTTCATAAATGACGTATTTTGTTATCTTGAACTTTCGAGACCCCACCGCCCTCCAACTCCTCCCACTATGAAGCTTCGAGACTGTCCTGCATTAATGATAGTTTTTTTAATCAAACACTTGAGGATTTAATGGCTCAAAATTGTCCTCAGGAACAAATTCAGTTATGAAAATCAGTTTTTCCCACGCCTTGCCAAACCTTCTTATTCTTCTTCTTATTCTTATTCTTCTCATTTCAAGAGAAAATAGAAAATATCAGGCACGTAGCCAGGAGGGTCTTGCCCCCTCCCCACCTTAAACGTTTTGAACCGCATCGAGAGCACGGAATAAAACGCTTAAGAGGGGGACAAGACCCTCCTGGCTACGCATCTGGAAAATATGAGTCGAATAAAATAAGAATACAAATTTACCACAATGATTTATGATGTTTTACCAAAGGCAACAATCAAAAGGAATTTCATTTTCTTTTCCTTCATTCCTTCCCAAAAAAAAACTTTTGTTTATTTCTTCTCCTACACACACAAATGTAAAAGGAGGTACATAACAAATAAGCAAAATGGAGAATAAAATGAAGTAATATTTAGAAGATATTTTTATGAAATCAAATTCTGTAGCCCAAAGGAATGATATTAAATAGTCAAGTTGGGAAGTCAAGTTGGGTTTTGTGTTTGCTATTTAGGTTTTATAGCGCTTGGTTCTCGATGAAGGGGTGTGTTTTAACTAAGCTTATGACGCCCAAGGGTGCGGCACTGATAAATTGCAATAAATTGCCTTTTGATCATTTTTGATCATTTCATCAGTACCGTACCCTTGATGACGCCTTCCCTCCTTTCCTTCTTTTGCCTCCTTTTGCAGTGGAAATCCAACCATAATTCAGCACCATTCAAAAGACAAAAACGACCTCCTTAAAAATCTACTCAAAATCAGCATACTTAATATCTAACGTCAATTTATATATCTGGTGTAATTCCTCTTAAAAGCGGATATGAGAAAAAGAAATTCGAGGTGAAGCAAACAACCCCAAGCAATAAAAATTCTCATGAAGTTGTTCCACTTCTTGCCATCACTGTTTAAATTTACTGAAACATATAAAAAATATAGTCTGTGATGTAAGACAAGCAAGATAAATGAACAAAAGAATTGAGTGATTTTCTAATCGATATCAGTCGAGAGAATCGAGATCAGTTCATATCAATCTGAAAAGTCACAACAGAACAATGCAGTAAATGTTCCATATCGAGTCAATCAGACATAAAATTGAAGATTTAGGGTCAGGCGAAGTATTAGCACAGAAATGTAAAAGTCATCTTCTTAAGCTTTCAAATCATCTACAAATGAGCATTCTTTGTCTTCTTCTTTAACTAGTTGCGGATGTAGACAGATAGACAGACATTATATGGATATAGATTGTAATAAAATGGCAACAGAGATGGGGAGGATGGAAGGCAAAAGTTGTTGTAAAAAAATCAATTCAATCAGATTAAATATTCCATAAATCATAGCTTTTGTATGTGTATGAGCCTCATTTACCCAACCATCTATGAATATTTGTACATTCATATTTATATTTTATGGCTGAATTTTAGATCTGTAAAGAATGTTGAACAAAGGCTTGTTTAGTCATCAAATGGGCTTTGTTTTATTGGGGGTTGGGTTTGAGTATTTTGTGAATAATATTAGCTAGCTTGACATCCTGAAAAGTTTATATTTCTCGTTTGGAGATTTTTAAACAACGTCAGCACCCCTGCATCATATTTTAAAGCATCTTCATCACTTCAACATTTATTTTCGTTGAAAACAAGCTCAATATTTTTTCTTCTTCTACTGCCTCAAGTCATTACTGCTCAATAACTCAATAATGTTATTTTTTCATCTTGCTCTCGATAGGACAAACATCCTTTCAAGCAATTTAAATCATGATTGACTTACAATAGTTTTTCAGTTTTCTTGAAATTCACTGTCATTTCTGCTGTTATTGAAGATATTTAAGCAGGGATGTGATATGGTTGGGAGGGGGGGGGGGGTATATTTTGTACTTTGAGGGTGGTCTTGAAAATTTATAAAAAAATCTGAAGTTATATTAATAAAATAATAATTTGTGAAGAGCCCAGCTTTTCAGCTAGAGGTACTGCTAATCAATTTGTAAAGAATCTATTGTACCACACTCTTTAGACCTACAGTTTATAGTGGGATCCAGTGAAACGGAAAAAGAGCTTCAAAAATTAGCCATGCCCTGGGATTGAACCCAGTACCTTTGTCACAGAAGGCCAACGCTCTACCATTTAGACCACTGATACCATTTCAACGCTTAATCTGAAGCTAATTTAAGAAAGTTTTTATCAGTGTGTTAATTCCAACCTTGCTGACTACACTTCTGTGTTCTATTCCTTTATACCAGGCTTGCAAAAAATATATTGAGGCAAATAATGACTTAGAGTTGAAAATAAAATTGCTACAAATTTTTATTGTTGTTAGAAAAACATAAAAATGTTCTTTTTTGCCTCTCATAAAATGACGATCATGTCAAGGATATAAAAATTGTTGTTGTTTTGTGTGTGATTTTTTTTTTATCGAAATTGTTGAATATTTTATTATTTTTAATGGGCAGTTTTTTGAAGCTTTTTTGTAATTTCAAAATTTTCGGACTGAAAATGGGTCACAAAAGTGAAAATCTATAGTCAAAATTTTGATATTTAACGTCCAAGTTTTAAATAGAATGAAGAGGACAGGGCTGAAGCTTTGTTATACTAAATTGGACCTTACTGTTGATTTAACTAAAGTTTTTGGAGACGACATTCAACATTATGTAAGAGGGGCTATGGAATTGTCTGAACTTTGAGAAAGCTTTTTCAAAACTGAAGTTCTGAAGATTCTTCTATGATAATCTTCATTTTTAAAAGACCTAATGTAAAATTCAAAAGCTTATCATTTTCCATACCAAATCAAAAGCTCAATATTACCAAAAGCTCATCTCATATTCCACAAATTCAACCTTAATTTTTTGTCTTCTTCCATTTCCAAGAAAAAGTATTCTTTTATGATAATAATTGAGGCTTTTAAAATGCTTTCTCATGCAAAGCAGATTGAGTTTGCATACACAAATAAGAACAATATCGAAAAAGAAAATTCTGCTGATGTTTTAAGCATGCAGCAAAAGTTAAAAATGAACATAAAAAGTTTCCCTTTTTTATCGATGCGACGTTCTGTATGTTTTATATGTAAAAGAAATAAAAAGGGAAAATATTAGATGAAAAGTATGCAAATTTTGAGGTACAGCTTTTTTTTTGGAAATTATCATATGCTTGTTTATAGCCTGGAATGTTGTTTTAGATGGATTTGGATGTTATAGAGGTTTTGAAAGATTTTCTATTTTTAAGGCAACGTTTAGATTCATGGATGTGCTTTTGTGGTTTGATCATTTAAATTCTGAATCATCGAAATTCAAAAAGCATCTGCAAAAAATCCCCAAAAAAAATCTGCTTTAAATCTTTAAACCCATTCAATCTGAAAGGTACCGAAAATACAAAAATTCACATTCGAAACAATTTTCTGATTATATCAACCGAAATACAGTAAAGTATGCGAAAAGAATTATCATACAGCATGACATGAATTTCCCAATAAAAATTACTTTTTATAAAAAAATAAATTTTTCTTATCTGAATTTTTCTTTCTCTCTTTCATTCCATATTCAGCATTATCCATCCAAAACACCACAGCCAAAACAATCACAAGCAACCACACCATCATCATATCGTACAGAATTATCTGGATCTTATGCATCGCTGGATTGTCCGTCACCTCCAGGACCACCAATTGTATCCGATAAGACACGCGATCCACAAACGCGACTAGCAATTTATTTAAAAACTCTGTACATAGATCTTTCACTTAAAGAACCAATTTTACCATCGTGGGTACATCCAGTGATACCTGGAACACTCTGTCCGGCGAGATTGGAACCTGAGTTGCGTTTAAGCAGCTTATCACATGGCCTTAATGAATGTATATCGATAGATCAAATTCTTCAAGCAGTTCATGTAAGTTTTAATATATGTCCAAGACATTTGTGTAACAACTCTGCATCTTAATACAAATTCACCCTCAATTAACTCTTTTCTTCTACCCTTTCATAACTCTGTAGACCAAAGATGGACCATATCTTGAGGCACCGAGACGAATATTTATAGAGTGTCCCTCATGGCTGGTAAAAAGTTCATTAGCGTTAAGAATATTACATAATTGGGCGAGAGATGCTCCATGGCCTCAACGTGGTCAACCCGTAGCTTTAGCACTTTTTGTACCATTAAGTGAATTAAAAGGAACGTTACATAATTTTATTAGTAAAGAATTAATAACGAAGAGTACACCAAATCTATTTTCGGGATTTGGAGCCTTCAATTCAGCATGGAATACATTAGAGTCGTTAAAGGGAAAATTACTTTTTGTACTCGATAGTTATGATGCGACATTGATGAGGAGCAGTGGACGTAATCGTAAAAATAAGAGCACATTCGATGATATTATTGACCTCCTAGAAGGAAAATTATTTCCAGAATCTCGTATTATATTAATAGGAAATACATCACAATGTCTTGATTTATTGCCGCTCATGCAGCGACATTTGAAATATGAGGGTATTACATGGGGTAGATCAGCATCTCTTCTCGGTGGTGGACAATGGGGTGCACCTACTAGACTTTTAGATATTGTACAAAGTTCACTTTATCTCCGTAATGCTGTACGAACGCCATTAGGATGTTTAGCAATTGCATCGATGTATGAGACAAATGGCGGTCAGTTACCGACCGAAGAAATTGATGTAATTGAAGGCATTATCAATTGTATCGCTCCGGGTATTCCACATTCTCATATTGCTGAATTAGGACGACTTGCATTGTTTTGTCTCAAAACGAAACGTTCAGTCTTTTCAACAGCCGAAATACGAATGTATTGTTCCGCGCCTGAATCTCCAGTAATTGGATGCTTTGAAAAATGTCAGCTATTTGGCAAGACCGCAAAGAAGCGAGGAGAATACTATTATGCACCGATATGCCAAGGAATATACGAGTTTTTGGCTGCAAACTATTTAGTATCATTGGCTAATCGTCCGGGACTGTTAGCAGCTGAAATAACTGGTTTGAGCTTAGCTGATGAGGTCGAAGCAGATATATTAAAAGTTTTGAGATTCTCAATGATATTGCTCGGAAATAGAGCACACGTTTTATTATCAAAACTAACAACGCTATGGCTTAGTCCGCAAACAGTTTTCTCGCTTGCACTCGCTGGCGGTGAAACAGAAGCAAATTTAAATGCATTAAGTGATATGCTTGGTATATCGAAAGTTCCACCAATCTCGCCACTCGAAACGAATCCAATTTGGGTTTCGATTACTTCATCAATTAATGAATTACAAGGATGGGGTTTGGCACTCAAATCACCAGTATGTGCACTCAAAAATCTCGAACTTATGTATCAAATGGAGAAAACCATTCAATTAGAATCACGTAATGCACTCGACATATTTCTCGATGCTCTCTCCCGTAATGAAAGTGTAACTACATTGAGAATTTCGTCATTGATTGAAAATGATGTAAGGGAGAATGACATAAATCATTTAGCCGCATGCATATCGAAGGCATTGTTAAAGCCACGTTTGGAGAATTTTGAATTGATATTGACTTTGTTGGAAGAAGATCCACCGGCTATGAAATTACAATCTGTCGTATCGGCATTGTGTAAATCTATACCGCGTCAAACTAAATTAGTTTCTGTACTTCTTGATTTGGGATTATGTACGTCACAGCTTGTACAAATTTGTGCAGCCCTTGAGAGATGTCCCCATATTAATAGATTGTCATTGCCACATCTCAGATGTGAACGGGGTGCAATAAGTGCATTAGCAAGTTTATTAAAAAATCGACCATTATCATCGCTTGCATTGCCAGCATGTTGGGGAGCCCGTGACGATCCTCCATCATCATCTGGTGTAAGTATGGGATCGGGTAGTGGAAGTAGTAGTGGAAATTCGGGTTTAATAAAACAAGGATCATTAACGGGTGCACCATCTCCAAGAGCATATCCACCCGGACTATTTTCATCATTACCAAGAGGATTACCACCAACTGCTACATTAGGACGATCTCAAACACTTCCAAGACAATTATTGGAAGGTCCTCCAGATAAAAGGAGTCAAGATTCTGTTATATCACGCACATGGTATCCAACACCAGCATGTGAAGGAGGTCCACACAATTCCGGTACACTTCATGACTTATTATTTGCTGCAAGGGAACCGTACTCACGCCTACATGGACTTGATTTAAGTAAAGCGCAGTTATCTTTAGAAGATTCAATGTGTTTAGGCGAAACGGTGAGAATCAGCCCAACATTGCATTCAATTAAATTGGAAGGAGCATCAAGACTGAGTGAAATTTTGCCAACGGTATTGGGAGCTGCAGAATCACCCAGTTTACAAATGCTGAGTCTCGGTTCACCTCGATTAATTTTAGAAGATACAGCTATTACAATGTCAGCGAGAGCCTTAGGCAGTTGTATTACATTACGCCTACTCAGCCTCGACGGATGGAGTTTTAAATTTGAAAATTTATCGACTCTCGCACAAGTTCGAATATTTTTATCGCTCACATCCATACGTGAATTGGGCTTGTCAAATTGTCGCATTTATTTGCCAATGTTTAATAGTGTACTGCAGATGCCATCTGATGCTTACGATTGTAATTCCATTGTTGTATTAAAACTGTCTGGGACACAGGTATGATAAAGTTTGAGTTTCCAACATTTCACAAATTTTATTTTAAAAACATTAATCAACAGATTATTCTCGGTGACCAAACTCCATTACGTGGTCCACAACTTTTACCATATCTAGGTGGATTTCACAATTTAAGAGAATTGGATTTATCAGCGCCAGCACGATCGGGTTTGGGAAGTACGACATCAGCTCCACCACTAATTTTAGATGATAAAAGCCTCTCGACATTCTTCCAACAAATAAACCTAAAATTCGGGTATGTATTGGATAGGAAAAGTAGTTAAAAATAATGACCAAAAAAAAAAGTTTTAGAACAACATTCAGATTTCATTATCATACATTTCTGTGACTCCATTAAGTTTAATTAAATGACCAAAAAGCAGTAAAGTTTGTCGTTTTCAAATAATACAAAAATAAAAGTTTCGAGAACAAAGTAAGCTGTACAGTTGTTGTTCATTATTGTTCTGATATGATTGGAGGTTTTGAATATTCGAGTATTTTTCTTTTTGGCATAAGCTCTTTGGTTTTTATTGATAAAGATAAGATTTTATAATTAAGTCTTAATGGAGTGTAATTTATAATTATGGTGTGAATTTAGGGTGTTCAATTTTAAGCACTTACTAGGATGTGTCAAGTCACAAAATGTCCTGTTTTTCTTGGCATTTGACATTGCTCATTATTGTTGGCAAGGGGCGTTGTTAAAAATTTAAAGAAGGGTGGGGGTAAAAAATTAAAGGGGGGGGGGGGGTGTCTATAATTTTTTTCTTAAAACTTTAGCAAAATAATTTTTTTGTTGAACAAGGAGGATTTATTTCCCAATTGTTCCCAGTCCCCCAACAGCTCACATGGCTACGCACCTTTTGCTGACCCTTATTCCCCGAATAGCACAATTCAGTTAATCGAATAGAAATCCGGTACCAATCCGACGTTACTCTGGAGGGTGCTGATGCTAGCAGAAATCGAATCTAGATCCATTCCAGAGTTAAATCAGCGTGTTGCCGGATTTCTGTTCGATCAACCGACTTGTGCTATTTGGGTAATATAGCAATAATAAACATAAGCTCCATTTTAACTTGTTAATGAAATCTATTCCAACAAAAGAATTGCATCCCTACAAGTAACAGCAAATAGAATATTATCATATCGAATAGTCTATTAAGAACCTCTACATTTAATGCCATGTTCTCTTCATTTCCTCAATTTTATTTTTCCTAAATTAGTTTCGATGCCAAAAACAAGAATTATCTCGAAACTTTTTCATCTCCTACACTTTTCTGTTCATTTTATTCATTTCCAAATTCTTTTATTCTTGTGTATTATGTTTGCCTGCTGCATCAAAAACTTATTCATTCAGAGAGAAAAAAAATATATAAAATAAACTGATAAAAATGATTTTGTTCATTCACAGACTGCTAAATACATTGAAAATATGTAATTGGATTATCCATCTGGATGATGCAACAAAGACATTCAAGGCGATGGCAAAAGCATTAAAATCATCAACAATAAGCCACATCAAAATTGACGGTATATCGGTGTTAGATAGGAATAAAAAGCATCGTGTAGAACCACAATTTTTGCATGCATTGCTTTCATCTGTACCACTATTGCGTTGGATAAGTGTTAGTTTATCTGGTGTGAGTGAGGAGCAAATGGCATTTATTGGAAATTCAATTGGAGATATAAAATCAAATGAGATTGATATTAGGTGAGTATTTGAGTTCAATGTTGTTTCCAGATGCTTCATATATGTATGAGGATGTACACGAGAATTTTAAAAATAGACAGATGATGGAATTGATAAAACGGAAGTTGTAATTTTGTTAGTGATGGATGTTAAAAGGGATGATTGAAACGCATTCAAATGGTCTAATAATAGATGAGTGGAAGAATCTGGTGATAGAATTTTTTTTAATGACGGGGAATTCATTGAAGTTGGAATGGAGAGAAGCATTTTGTGGAGTATTTTTTGCGGTTCAGCAATTTCCTGCATTAAAATTGGATATCAATACTGCTAAAGAATTGGAAATACATCATTCTAGACCAGTTATGCCTTATCCGTGTGCCGCGGCACACTAAAGTGCAATGAAAAAAGTGGAATATCCTACGAAGTCATGGCATATCATCAGTTGGGCCATGGGACAAAAGTGGTTGTGCACCACTGTCTTAGACTAATCAATTATTCCTCAACAGAATATGTACACTTTACAGTTAAGTCAGGACTTATAAAAATAATATGGTGCTAGTTAAAAGATAATTATCTTCACAGTCAAGCTTATGCAATATTAAGACTTCGCTTTACGATCAAACCTAGTCTAAATAGACTTGAACATGGGGCTCAAGATTATATTGATTCTACTTTTATGTCATGTGACTGAATGGAGACAACTAGCTCAGTGGTTGAATCTCATGATCGACTTCCTAGATATTATTGAGATTAAGAGTTCGATTCCTATTGAACTCGAGTAATTTTAAATTGGTTTACACATCCTGCACTCAAAAGATACCAAAGAACTCTAAACGTAAAGTTATCTAACTTAAACAACTTACATTAAGCATCATATTGCAGTTCTAGACAGTGAATAGTCTACAAATATCAAAACATGGGATGCTTTTAACAAGTTTACTGACATTATCATCATTTAATACCCCAGATCAACCCACGCTCATCTATTAAAGACAAAATAGTCTCATTTACATCCCAACGAGAACAAAACCAAGTTAACAAGATGAACAGCTTTTTTCCTCCGTCCGTTCATTTTCTCTATTTATTCACTCATGTCAACCTCACTTCTGTATCTACAATTCAATTTAATTTTATTTCATTTCATTTCTTTTTTCTCGCATATGAAAAATATAAACACAGATTAAGCGACTCGACAATTGAGAATGTTCGTTTAATGACCCAATCATTGAGTCTCGATGGTAAATTTGATATTCGTGTATCGACATTTGGAACATCTTCAAATATATTGGTGCATGTTGAGAAAATCGGAGTCAAAAGTTTGTCACGTAAGCACAAAGATTAAATTTTCCTTTTTTTCTTCAGATGCTGCTCAACTTTTTCTTTTTTGTGTGTTTTTTGGCGAAACAAAAAATGAGAGAAAAATATTCAATTTATTTTTTCGTTTAATATTCAACAAATGCTTATTACACATATATTATTTTATGAGATGATAAAAATAGAAAATGATTGGCAGAGGTGTTATTTTGGATGATTTTTAAGGAAGTTTGTCATATTTTTTATGAAGAATTGGTTGATAATTAGACCAAGAGAGTCTTATTTGACCTTGATCAGTTTTATGCGTTTTTAGGTGTCTTTTTTGATCTTTAAGAGTCTCATTTGACCCTTAAGAGTCTCATTGGACCCCAAAGAGTCTCATTTGAACCTAAAGAGTCTTATTTGACCCTAAAGAGTCTGTTTCGACCCTAAAGAGTCTCATTGGATCCCGAAGAGTCTCATTTGACCCTAAAGAGTCTCATTAGACCTTAAAGAGTCTGATTGGACCACAAAGAGTCTCATTTGACCTTAAATAGTCTCATTTGATCTTAAAAAGTTTAATTTGAGCCTAAAGAGCCTCATTTGACCCTAAATAGTCTGTTTCGACCCTAAAGAGTCTCATTTGACTTTATAGAATCTTATTTGACCCTAAATAGTCTGTTTTGACCTTAAAGAGTCTCATTGGATCTTAAAGAGTCTAATTTGACCCTAAAGAGTCTCATTTGACCCAAAAGAGTGTTATTTGATCCTTTAAAAGTCTCGTTTGATCCTAAAAATTCTTATTTGACCCTTAAGAGTCTAATTTGACCCTACAGAGTCTCATTTGACCCTACAGAGTCTGTTTCGACCCTAAAGAGTCTCATTGGACCCCAAAGAGTCTCATTTGATCTTTAAAAGTTTAATTTGACCCTAAAGAGTCTCATTTGATCATTATTTTATTAAATACTTCGATCAATTGTGATCCATAGCCTTATTCAAATGACGACTGAAACTTACTCTATCATTTGATCTTAGATATTCTTATTCAGCTTCCAAGAGTCTCATTGGACCCTTAATAATTATTATTATTTATTTGTCGACGTTACCGTCCGGAAGGAATCTCACTGTAACCTTTACGAATCTCATTTTATATGAGACAATCTTATTTAACCTTCAAAGTAACTTTAGACTCTCTAAAATCACGTGAGATACAACAAAATCCTTAGATACTCAAAAAATAAACAAAAACTCACCAAAATTTCAACTCTGGCCAAAGAAAAATACAAAAATAAAAGGAACTGAACAAAACTTTTCCTTTTAGCAAGCTGAGAAGATAAAAATTCCTATCATATTTAAGTTTCACAAGAAGAAAAAAAAAGAAATTTGATAATAGTTTATGTATGAAAACTTACACCAGCTAACAAACTAGCTACACGACTACGTAATAAAATTACGAGGAGATTATTCACATGCTCCCTAAATCCGACATGAAAAGATACACTATTTATTATTAAGAATAATTGAAGAACTTTTTATATTATTCAGCACAAAAGAAATACATAAAAAATTTTCTCCTATTTATTAAAAGTGTTGAAATAAAAGATGAAGAAAATGTTTAATAAAATTTGTAGATGATACAAAAAAAACTTTTTATCATGATGCAAGAATAATTTTTGCTCATACATATTTTAATAAAAGATAAAAGAAAACTGATTTTGATTCTTTTTTTTTGTGGAAGAGCATTAAAAGTGTTTTTATGCTGTCTACACTTCAATCAACAGATGCCAAAAAAAATATATAAAAAGAGAATATTCAAAAAAGAAAATGAAAAAAAATTGTTATGAAGTAGTTTTGTTGTTGTTAGATCATCTTCTTCTTCCTCTTTCTCTCCGCTATATATTCTGATATTGTTTATATCTCTCAAACCCACACACAAACACACTAAACAGACTCTCGTGTAAGAAATTCCAGTTTGAATTTTTTTTCTTTTTTCAATTCTTTTGCTTTACAAAACTGTGATTTTTTTAGCTACATTTACAATCTTTCTTAGTTCTATTCATTTTATTTCAATTTCATGAGATGTAATTAAAGGTAAAAATAATAAAAAAATGAGATGAAATGTTAAAAAATTAAGTGCAAAAAAAATCTCATTAATGAAAAAAAGTTTTTTATTTACGTTTTAGACGAGAAATAAAGAAGATTAAAGCTGGGTGTTGATTTGGATATTCCATGAATTTGATTTAACTGCTTACTCGTAAAAATAAAACTTCTAGTGGCTTGTTATGAATTAGTTGTGAAAACTTTATATCCATTTTGAGATGCAAAACTTTTAAAAGTTACTCAATATGATTGATGTAACATCAATTTACACCTCATCGCTTTTTTTTTATTTTACAACTTTGAAGAGCTGTTTTCCTCTTGAGATTAAAAACTTTTTCATTTCTGTGGTAATCCTTTCATAAAGTAAGAGCATATTTGGATTTTTATTAATATCTGGTGTTGGAGGATTATGCAAGATTGAGCTTGAGTTTATGACGCATTAATCTGATGTTTGTCAAGTAAAGTGGCATAAGTTTGAAGCTATTAAACATGATTTCTAACTGCTATCAAATCTCGCACTTTGATGAGTTCTAATAATTTGAATTTTGAATTTCAAGCTGCCTTAACTATGGTTGTTAATAGTTTTGCAGTAACCACGACCATTAAAAGGTAGCTTAAAGATAGGCTATATGAATATAGCCATGCTAAGGCTTGCTCAAAACTGACTTTTTAAATTTCTTGCTACTAAAGAGTGTATAAATAACTTAAGATAGTGAATAATCTTACTTGGTTTCAGTACAAAATCTTATTAACCCGAGAAACAAGAGTCAAATTACGAATTCTAATATCAAACTCTACAACTCTCATTTTTTGGTCTATCAAATCTTTTTTGCCCAATTTTCTGAGGGAATCGGAGGGGGCATACCTATTAAATTCTTTTAGTGTGTTTTTGCATTTTCCGACGTTTTTTTTTGGTTCAGATCTTAAAAGGTTCTGTCAGAGCTCGAAGTTGACTCGAAATTTTCATCGATTTTGTATGGCGAAGTAGACTCCGAGTCTATAATATCTAGTTTGAACCTAATGTTAGCAAAGAGAACAGAGTCCGTTAAAAACAACGGGTGTTTTTAAAAGCACAAACATTTAAGGAATGCAATTTCATCACAGTGATTATCTTAATCATAAAAACTAGTAGGAATGTTCACTAAAATTACAAATTACTCGAAAAATAATAATTCACAACGAATTTTTTTAAAAAACAAGAACTTCGAAGATTCGATTTTCGAAAAATAAGAACTTCAAAAATTCGAAGTTCGAATAATAAGAACTCAAAAATTTCTGTATGCTAGCATTGGGTTTGAACTTTCTGACAACAGTGTTTTGACACCGGAACCTTTTTCCTGGCTACATCCCAATAACTTTGTTTAATACAGCTTTTAAAGCAAGTTAGATTCTTTTCGCTTTTTACTACCTTTTTATTATTAAAAAATTTTTTTGTCTCTGTCAAAAATTATAAAACCAACCCACGACACAGCATCATCCAGTGATCAGTTAAATCATTCAAAAAGTCAAACCAAATAATTTCCAATCGTCCAGCTCTCTGAATCTCTCGAATGATTGACATTTTATGCTGCAGTATCTTTAAATCATAATCTCTATAACTGTCTATAAAAACGTTATATTCCATTTTACAACAACTATAGTTAAAATACTAAAAGAAAACTTTCAAAATACATTAAAGAATTATTTTATTATTTTTTTAAAAACAAAGAGATAAACATTTTATACTATTATATCATATGTGTATGTATTATTATGATTATTACAACATCATCCTTTTCACTAATTATTAAAAGTTATGAGACAAAAAAAGTTTCCTTAATTTATGATAATAATGATAAAATTTTTGATTAGATCAAAGTGGATTTGGAAGGGAGATTTGAATGGGTTTTATAAAAAGTTGAAGGTTTTTGGACTCATAAGTCAATGAAGTTCTGTAAAAAATTCAAATTAGGAATTTTATAGGTTAAAACTTACTAGAATTATTTCTTAAAATTATAAAGATTAATTAATAAAATCTGAACCTTTTCTACTTTCGATATCAACACAAAACTATCACGATCATTTGCATCAAAAAGTGAATTTAATAATATTCGCCAATTCCACCCAAACCCCTCTTTTAGACTTCCAAAACAAAGAATAAATTTTTTCATGAATTTCATTGACATATATTTGCTTTGAAACCTCATTCTCCTTTGAGATCGATCAATAAAATTGCATCCACATTCAAACAAGAGCAGTCAACTGAAGATTAAAATTTTTCATATGAAAATAAATTCAAACATCGAGTCAGACAGTAATGTGGTGGATGCAATGATGCAGATTTTGAATTTATATACATAAAATCAGTTCGTTTGAAATGTAAACTGTTTACAAAACTGTCGTCATATATAGCACATTCAAATTTTCCTTTTTGACATACGCTTTGATCAATCATGTGGCTAATTTGCAAGGAAAATATTTACCGCAAAAACCTTCAAGGAAAGGAAACACATAAAATAAATATTATAGTAATGGCTGTGTATATTATATTATATTATATTATTATATTTAAAAATAGTGAAAAATTATGATATTTATTTTAAATAAAAACCAAATGAGAATCAATAAGGAGACATAAATACACTTTGTGTATGACACAAAAAAATAATTATTTAAAAAAATTGATGATTGAAGTTGAATAAAAATTGAGAGAAAAATAAAAAAAAATTTATTATACAATTTTAAGGTGACAATATTGTAGTTGAATATAAAAAACATTGAAAATTAAATTCAAATTTGTTCATCACCTCTTAAAAAATATTGAATAAAATTCAAATAGGATATTTGTGCTGGTGTGGAAGGATTAAATTTTATGGGATGATGTGTGTATTGTTTTGACATTAAATAAAGGTTTTTGTAAGGTTATGCTGAATTTTATAGTTTTTTTTAAATTTATTGTCAGAACCCTAATTCTTGAAAGGCACATGGCGTATTAATGTATGTCCATCTGGCATCCAGGACTGAATGAACACGGCTCCACGCTGAATTTGGTGAAATTAGGCATGAAGCTGCATTAATGTTTTCTTCGATGCCATGATTACAGCCATTTTACCGACTGGGATCAGGTTGGCCTTTTGTGGATCCATTTTAAACATTATTCTGTTCCAAACAGGATTAACAGCTGGCTTCTAAAGCTAGAAAAGGTATTAATTCCTAGATACACTCAAACTAGATTTATACGCAAGAGTTTAGAGTATGGATTATCAATTTTAAAGTATAGTACCCTGCATACCAGCTACAGGACTTAAAAGGCCTTCAAATC